GGTGGTCTGTATAGGATGTGTGTGTAGGGGGTCTGTATAGGATGTGTGTTGGGGGGTCTGTATAGGATGTATGTTGGGGGGTCTGTATAGGATGCGTGTTGGAGCGTTTGTATAGGATGTGCGTGTTGGGGGGTCTGTATAGGATGTGTGTTGGGTGGTCTGTATAGGATGTGTGTTGGGGGCTTTGTATAGTATGTTTGTTGGAGGGTCTGTATAGGATATGTGTGTTGGAGGGTCTGTATAGGATGTGTGTGTTTTGGGGGGTCTGTATAGGATGTGTGTTGTGGCGGTCTGTATAAGATGTGTGGGTTGTGGGGTCTGTATAGGATGTGTGTTTGGGGGTCTGTATAGGATGTGTGTGTTGGGGGGTCTGTATAGGATGTGTGTTGGGGGGTCTGTATAAGATGTGTGTTGAGGGGTCTGTATAGGATGTGTGTGTTCGGGGGTCTGTATAGGATGTGTGTTGAGGGGTCTGTATAGGATGTGTGTGTTGGGGAGTCTGTATAGGATGTGTGTGTTGGGTGTCTGTATAGGATGTGTGTGTGTTGGGGGGTCTCTATAGGATGTGTGTTTGGGGGTCTGTATAGGATATGTGTGTTGGGGGGACTGTATAGGATGTGTGTTGTGGGTCTGTATAGGATGTGTGTTGGGGGGTCTGTATAGGATGTGTGTGTGTTGGGGGGTCTGTATAGGATGTGTGTTTGGGGGTCTGTATAGGATGTGTGTGTTGAGGGGTCTGTATAGGATGTGTGTTGGGTGGTCTGTATAGGATGTGTGTGTTGGGGGGTCTGTATAGGATGTGTGTTGGGGGTCTGTATAGGATGTGTGTTGGGGGGTCTGTATAGGATGTGTGTTGGGTGGTCTGTATAGGTTGTGTGTTGAGGGGTCTATATAGGATGTTTGTGTTGGGGGGTCTGTATAGGATGCGTGTTTCAGGGTTTTTATAGGACGTGCGTGTTGGGGGGTCTGTATAGGATGTGTGTTGGGTGGTCTGTATAGGATGTGTGTTGGGGGGTCTGTATAGGATGTGTGTTGGAGGGTCTGTATTGGATATGTGTGTTGGAGGGTCTGTATAGGATGTGTGTGTTCTGGGGGGTGTGTATAGGATGTGTGTTGGAGGGTCTGTATAGGATATGTGTGTTGGAGGGTCTGTATAGGATGTGTGTGTTTTGGGGGGTCTGTATAGGATGTGTGTTTTGGGGGTCTGTATAAGATGTGTGTGTTGGGGGGTCTGTATAGGATGTGTGTTTTGGGGTCTGTATAGGATGTGTGTATTGGGGGGTCTGTATAGGATGTGTGTTGGGGGGTCTGTATAGGATGTATGTTGGGGGGTCTGTATAGGATGTATGTTGGGGGGTCTGTATAGGATGTGTGTGTTGGGGGGTCTGTATAGGATGCATGTTGGGGGTTCTGTATAGGATGTATGTTGGGGGTCTGTATAGGATGTGTGTGTTGTGGGGTCTGTATAGGATGTATGTTGGGGCTCTGTATAGGATGTGTGTTGGGTAGTCTGTATAGGATGTGTGTTGGGGGGTCTGTATAGGATGTGTGTGTTTGGAGGTCTGTAAAGGATGTGTGTTGGGGGGCCTGTATAGGATGTGTGTGTTGGGGGGTCTGTATAGGATGTATGTTGGGGGGTCTGTATAGGATGTGTGTTGGAGTGTCTGTATAGGATGTGTGTGTTGGGTTGTCTGTATAGGATGTGTGTGTTGGGCGGTCTGTATAGGATGTGTGTGTTGGGGGGTCTGTATAGGATGTGTGTTGGGGGGTCTGTATAGGATATGTTTGTTGGGTGGACTGTATAGGATGTGTGTTGCGGGTCTGTATAGGACGTGTGTGTTGGGGGGTCTGTATAGGATGTGTGTGTTGGGCGGTCTGTATAGGATGTGTGTGTTGGGGGGTCTGTATAGGATGTGTGTTGGGGGGTCTGTATAGGATATGTTTGTTGGGTGGACTGTATAGGATGTGTGTTGGGGGTCTGTATAGGACGTGTGTGTTGGGGGGTCTTTATAGGATGTGTGTGTGTTGGGGGGTCTGTATAGGATGTGTTTTTCGGGGTCTGTATAGGATGTGTGTGTTGGGGGTTCTGTATAGGATGTGTGTTGTGTGGTCTGTATAGGACGTGTGTGTTGGGGGGTCTGTATAGGACGTGTGTGTTGGGGGGTCTGTATAGGATGTATGTTGGGTGGTCTGTATAGGATGTGTGTTGGGGGGTCTGTATAGGATGTGTGTTGGGGGGTCTGTATAGGATGTGTGTTGGGTGGTCTATATAGGATGTGTGTACATGGGGGAGTTTATACAGATGCGCGTATGTGGGAGGTCTGTAGGGGTGCATGTATATTGGGGGAATATTTACAGATGCATGGATGGGGAGAGGCTGTATAGGATGTGTGTTGAGGGGTCTGTGACCATGGCGCTGCGGCACTATTTGCACAAAGTAGCCTGCCACGTAGCCCAGGATGAAGATGATCCTACAGAGGGCCAGGCCTCCCAGCATCCTCATGGTGACGCCCAGCCTGCCCGTGTACTGCTTCCGGGAGGGCCTTTCCCAGCAGGAGGCCTGTTCTGGGCTGGACACAGCCCCCAACTGACCTCCTCCCACCTGCGTGCTCAACGCTGGGTCCGGGCTCCTGGGGGAGTGATGCGGCCTGGCAGGCTCACCGGGAGCAGTCTTCGGGCGAGGGAGGTGTCAGAACCTGTGGGGGCTCAACCTGGCACAGACTGTCCAAGTGGAAGAGGCGCACAGAGCCCCTTTCTACAATTTATTAGCCAAAATCTAGAGATCATTAGCATTATTTGACACATGAATTTAAATAGAGGACTTTTCTGTGCTTTATTGTTCCTTTTCAATAAAATACATGGGGAGGATGTTGAGTTCTTGGGATGGGTCTTGGACAAATAAGACATCATAATTGTATTTACATATGACACCTAATTATAACACGAGTTTACTATATCTTTGTAGAATCTCCCTTCCCTCCCAACACTCTGGAAAAATAGAGAGAGAGAAAAAAAAAGGCTAGTGTGTTTTTTAAGTGTGTGTACTCAATTAAAGCATTTATCCTGATTGTGAATTAAAATGGATGTCAAAGTAATCTTTTATGAAATGGTAGATGACGATTATTTTTCATTTTATTAGTTTGTAAAATCTATTCTTCTAGTCCAGTGTTTCCCAAAGTGTGGTAACCGTACCCCCAGGGGTACGGGAAGAGTTTGGTGAGGGTCCGCGTTGCACCAGAGTTTGGTGGGGATATGCACTGCACCGTGCTTAGCTGCGCCTAATTCTACGTTCTCATGAGTACGAGGGGTACTCAGCGTTACGAAAATTTTAGAAGGGGTACACATATGCCAAAAGTTTGGGAAACACTGCTCTAGTCGATGAGAAAGATAAGTCATGTGGCTAATCAAGTGAGCTCTCAAATTATTCAAGAAGGAAACCTCTGTGGCATGTCACTAGCACCTGCTCCTAGGTGTTTATATTGGGGATCCCAGTGAAGTGTCACCTTTGTCAGCTTGTCATAACTAAAGGCTCTTCATAGCCCAGACTGGTGGCTTAATTAGCAGAAACTTATGTTTTTAGGGTTCAGGAGCTTGGAAGCCCGGAGTCTGATGCCAAAATGGCTGAGTTCTGGAGAGCCCCGTTTTGCTTACAGGAGCTGCTTCTCCTTGTGTTGTCATATGGCGAAGAGAGGACAAGCTCCCTGGTAAGGGTTGAACTTTCAAAGGAATGAAAACAGCAGCTAATTACTGTGGCTTGGATTTTTTCATTTTCCAATATGGCCACTTCTCTTTCTCTCTTAGCTTTTTTCTTGGAGCAGTTAGATCTCTGGTGTCTTAATCTCATCTAATCCAAATGCCCGCCTATGTCCCATCTCAAAGGTCCATCACATTTTGGGGGAGGGGGTTGGAATTTAATATGTGAATTTTGGAAAGACACAGGCATCCTGTCTGTAAAAGGCAGTAATGGTATTAGGATGATGTTAAGCCGGGGGTCCAGGAGGATTCAAATACTTCTTTGGTTTAATCTACCATTAAGTTTGAGGAACAACAGCAAAGCACGGCAGATTACATGGTGACTAATGGAAGCTTTGTAGTCTAGAGCCCCAGTGCAAAACTCTGGTAAGATAAGCAGTTAGCAAAGGAGAACTCATTTACTAAGTGTTTTTGCTTGAATGACCTGCAACAGGAGCAGCTTTTACATTTCACATGGTTGAAAATTTAAAAGAATATTTTGTGAGATTTGAAAATTACATGAAATTCAAATTTCATATAATGTGTTATTAGAATAAATCATATGGTTTTATTAGAATACAGCCATGCTCATTTATTTATGCATTGTCGATGGATGCTTTCATGCACAAGAGCCTAAAATATTTACTCTCTGACCCTTTAGAGAAAAAGTTTCCCTATTCCCAAGTCTAAATCTTGGCTCAAAATAGATTTCAAAAAGATGCAGAGCCATACCCATCAACACTAGAAACTAATGGATCCGGAGACAGAACATTTACTCCAAAGCATGGTGTGAGAAGTTCTTTGCACTGGGGCTCTAGACTACAAAGCTTCCGTTAGTCACCATGTAATCTGCCGTATAGCACAGCTCACGCCATGCTTTGGAGTAAATGTTCTGTCAAGCTGTATAATGCCAGACCCAACTGTTCCAAAAAGAGAAATCAGATGGCCTTCTGGGGGGATGGAAGAAGACAGAGCCACAGTTATTTGGTGATGTTTTCATTCCTTTGAAAATTTAGCCTTTACCAAATGGAATAGTGGGCCCTGAAATTGGACCAACATAGATGAAGATTTATCTTCCTTTGAGAATTTACCCCTTAATTTATACTTAACCACTCAAGTCAAAGGAGATGGAGGTATGGGAGCTAAGAGAGTTCCCTTTCTAAACTTAACAGTAATCTATGAAAATTGGTGGCATCATTGAAATCAAGCCACTTCCTTTGCTCCTGACTTGTTTCTGTTTCCTCCCTCCTCCCCTCCCTGTCACACAGGTGGTTTTAAAGGATGTGGACTCGCTCCTCTATGTGGACACGGATGTCCTCTTCTTGAGGCCCATTGAGGACATCTGGAAGCTCCTGTGGCAGTTCAATGCCACCCAGCTTGCCGCCATGGCCCCTGAGCATGAAATCCCCAAGACCGGCTGGTATAGCCGCTTTGCCCAGCACCCTTTCTATGGCTCTGCAGGAGTTAATTCAGGAGTCATGCTAATGAATTTAACTCGTATAAGAAGCACCCAGTTCAAGGTAAGGAAGTATTTTATATTTCCTTGTTTAAAATTTGGAATTTTGTCTTTTCCAGAGTCAGTGTGCTGATTTGGAAATAGACAGGTAGGGATGGAAGGAGCCAGGGAATGGTGTTTGGAGGGTTTGGGGGTATTTGTCTGCTCAGGAAAAGCCCAGGGGGTTATTAAATCTAAATCTTTAGCTGAGTTTCCATTCAGAACTATTGCGCTGCATTTCTGAGGCCTGTCATGTTTGGACTCTGAGCATATCCAATGCTTCAGAAACCTTGGGAATAGTCCTTGGCATTGCCATAGGGTTATTTACCTATGTACACAGATCTTTGTGCATGGCTGTACCTGGCCTCGTTTTTTTATCCAACAAATAACAGGAATGCTCCTAACGGAACATAAATAGAAAACTAGTAAAAAATTATCCTCCTGTTAAAAAGAATTAGGTAAATCTATAAGATAAATAAACAATATTAAGTGAAAAAAAAATGGAACAAAGCATAATATTGTAGGGTATGATCCCTTTTATGCTTTAGAAATTTCCAGAAAAATACCTAAGAGACCATAAATTATTAATTGTGGATACTTGGGGAAAGTGGAAGTGGGAATTGTAGGATGATGGAGGAAGAGGACTTTTGCTATATTTTAGATCTTTTTATGCTATTTCAATATTTATTCTATGAATGTGAAATATTATTTATTTATTTAAATAAATCTTTATTGTTTATATTATTACAAATGTTCCTCATTTCCCTCCCCCCCATTGCTCCTCTCCACCAGGTTCCCACCCAACTCTCTGTCCTTTCCACACCCCCATTGTCTTCATCCATAGGTGAACAGTTTTTGTTAAGGCTCTTCCTGCACCCCTTACTCCCCTTTTCCCCAAGAATCGTCAGTTCACTCCCCTTCCATACCTCTGATTCTTTTTTTTTTTTTATTAATTTTTTTAAAATTAAATTATTATCTGTGTATATATTTTAACATTGTCCCCCCTGCCATACATACCCTCCCTTTTGTTTCCATTGGTTGTACTTATATGCATGTATACAAGTCCTTCGGTTGATCTCTTATCTCCCCCAGACCTCCCTACCCTCCCTGCTGTAATTTGACAGTCTGTTTGTTGCTTTACTGTCTTTATATCTGTATTTTGGTTCATCAGTTTATAATGTTCTTTAATATCCATAAATGAGCGAGGTCATGTGGTATTTCTCTTTCATTGATTGGCTTATTTCACTCAGCATGATGTTCTCCAATTCTATCCAGGTTGCTGCAAATGATGAGAATTCCTTCTTTTTTATGGCAGCATAGTATTCCACTGGGTAGATGTACCATGGTTTTTTGATCCAGTCATCTGCTGACGGGCACCTAGGCTGTTTTCAAATTGTAGCTCTTATAGATTGTGCTCCTATGAACATAGGGATGCATATATCCTTTCTGATTGGTGTTTCTAGTTTCTTGGGATATATTCCTAGGAGTGGGATTACTGGGTTAAATGGGAATTCCATTTTCAGTTTTTTGAGGAAACTCCATACTGTTCTCCACAGTGGTCGCACCAGTCTGCATTCCAACCAGCAGTGCACCAGGGTTCCTTTTTCTCTGCAACTTGCCAACACTTGTCGTTTGTTGATTTGTTGATGTTGGCCATTCTGACAGGTGTGAGATGGTACCGCATTGTTGTTTTGATTTGCATCTCTCGGACAATTAGTGACTTTGAGCATGTTTTCAGTGCCTTTTGGCCTTCCTTCTGTCTTCTTTTGAAAATATTCTATTTAGATCCATTGCCTATTTTTTAATTGGATCATTCATCTTCCTTTTATTTAGTTGTATAAGCTGTCTATAGATGTTGAAGATTAAACTTTTATCAGAGATAATATTTGCAAATATGTTCTCTCATGTAGTGGACTTTCTTGTTGTTTTGTTGATGGTTTCTTTTGCTGTAAAAAAGCTTTTTATTTTGATGTAGTCCCATTTGTTTATTTTCTCTTTAGTTTCCATTGCACTAGAGGCAGTATCAGTGAAGAAGTTCTTTTGAAATATGTCTGAGATTTTGCTGCCTGTGGGTGCCTCTAGTATTTTTATGGTTTCTCGTCTGATGTTTAAGTCCTGTATCCATTTTGAGTTTATTTTTGTGTATGGTGTAAGTTGGTGATCTAGTTTCATTCTTTTGCATGTATTTGTCCAATTTTCCCAACACCATTTATTGAAGAGACTGTCTTGACTCCACTGTATATTTGTGCCTCCTTTGTCAAATATTAATTGAACAGAATGATTTGGGTTGATATCTGGGTTCTCGATTCGATTCCATTGATCTATTGTATATGTCTGTTCATGTGCCAGTACCAGGCTGTTTTGAGAACAGTGGCTTTGTAATACAGTTTGAAGTCTGGTATTGAGATCCCTCCTACTTTACTCTTCTTTCTCAGGATTGCTGTGGATATTTGGGGTCTTTTATTGTTCCAAATGAACTTTTGGAGAGTTCTTTCTAGGTCAGTGAAATATGCCGTTGGTATTTTAATGGGGAGTGCATTGAACCTATAGATTGCTTTAGGAAGTATGGACATTTTGATGATGTTGATTCTACCAATCCATGAACATGGTATGTTCTTCCATCTGTTTACATCTTCCTCTATCTCTTTTTTCAGTGTCGTGTAGTTTTCCGCGTATAGGTCCTTTACTTCCTTAGTTAAGTTTATTCCTAGGTATCTTAATTTTTTTGGTGCGATGGTAAATGGAATTGCTTTTTTAGTTTCTGTTTCTGTAAGTTCACTGTTGGTGTATAGAAATGCCATAGATTTCTTGGCGTTAATTTTGTATCCTGCTACATTGCCAAATTCATTTATTAAGCCAATTAGTTTTTTAATGGAGTCTTTTGGGTTTTTTATATACAATATCATGTCGTCTGCAAGTAAGGATAACTTTACTTCTTCTCTTCCAATTTGGATGCCTTTTATTTCCTCCTCTTGTCTAATTGCAATGGCTACTACTTCCAGTACTATGTCAAACAGAAGTGGTGATAGTGGACATCCCTGTCTTGTTCCTGTTCTTAGAGGGAATGGTTTTAGTTTTTGCCCATTGAGTATGATGTTGGCTGTGGGATTATCATATATAGCTTTTATTATGTTGTGGTATGATCCTTGTACTCCCACCTTGTTGAGAGTTTTTATCAGGAAAGGGTGTTGGATTTTATCAAATGCTTTTTCTGCATCAATTGATGTGACTATATGATTTTTATCTTTCAATTTGTTTATGTGATGTATCACTTTTATTGATTTGCGGATATTGTACCATCCTTGCATTCCTGGAATAAATCCTACTTGGTCATAGTGTATGATCTATGATGCTCCGCTGGAGCCGATTTGCTAGAATTTTGTTGAGGATTTTTGGCATCTATGTTCATGAGGGATATTGGCCTGTAATTCTCTTTCATTGAGTTGTCTTTATCTGGTTTTGGTATTAGGGTGATTCTGGCTTCATAGAAGGAGTTTGGAAGTGTTCCTTCCTCTTGAATTTTTTGGAATTGTCTAAGGAGGATAGGTTTTAGTTCTTCCTTGAATGTTTGGTAAAACTCTCCTGTGAAGCCATCTGGCCCTGGGCTTTTGTTTGCTTGAAGCTTTTTGATGACTGTTTCAATTTCTTCCCAAGTTACTTTTCTATTGAGATTTTTAGGTTCTTCCTGATTGAGTTTTGGAAGGTTGTATTTTTCTAGAAATATGTCCATTTCCTACAGGTTGTTCAGTTTGTTGGGATAGTGTTGTTCGTAGTACTTTGTAACCATCCTTTGTATTTCGGCAGGGTCTGTTGTTATTTCACCTCTTTCATTTCTGATTTTGTTTATTTGAGTCCTCTCTCTTTGCTTCTTGGGTAGCCTGGCTAGAGGTCCATCTATCTTGTTTATCCTTTCAAAGAACCAGCTCTTGGTTTTGTTGATCTTATGTATTGTTTCTTTGGTTTCTATGTTGTTTATCTCCGCTCTGATTTTTATTATTTCCTTCCATCTGCTTACACTGGGCTTTTCTTGTTGCTCTCTCTCTCTCTCTCTCTCTTTCTCTCTCTCTCTCTCTCTCTCTCTCTCTCTCTCTCTCTTTTTTTTTAACTCTTTGAGTTGTAGAGTTAGATAATTTGTGACCATTTTTTCTTGTTGTTTGAAATAGGGTTGTAGGGATATGAACTTCCCTCTCAAAACTACTTTTGCTGTGTCCCATAGATTTTGGATTGTTGTGTTTTCATTGTCATTTGTTTCCAGGATGTTTTAATTTCTTCCTTGATTTCTCTGTTTTATAGCATGCTGTTTAGTCTCCATGTGTTTGATTTCTTTGGATTATTTTTATTGTAGTTAATTTCCAGTTTTATGCCACTATGATCTGAGAAGATGCTTGATATGATTTCTATCTTCTTGAATTTGAAGAGACTTTGCCTATGTCCCAAAATGTGGTCTATCTTTGAGAATGTCCCATGTGCACTTCAGAAGAATGTATATTCGGTGGCTTTGGGGTAGAATGTTCTGAAGATGTCGATTAATTCCATCTGGTCTAGTGAGTCATTTAGGATTGATATTTCTTTGCTGATTTTTTGTTTTGATGATTTGTTGAAGGGTGACAGTGGGGTATTAAAATCTCCTACTATAATTGTATTGCTATTAATCTCTCCCCTAATGTCCTCCAGCAGTTTTTTTAATGTATTTGGGTGCTCCCATATTGGGTGCATATATATTTACCAGGGTTATTTCTTCTTGTTGGATTGCTCCCTTTAGTATTATGAAGTGGCCTTCATTATCTTTTTTTTTTTTAATAAGTTTTTATTGTTCATATTATTACAAATGTTCCTTCCCCACCACCACCACCATTGCTCTCCTCCACCAGGTTCCCACTGCACCCTCTGCCCTTTCCCTACTCCCCGTTGTCCTCATCCATAGGTGCACAGTTTATGTTCAGTCTCTTCCCATGCCCCCCTATCCCCTTTTCCCCAAGAATCATCAGTTCACTCCCCTTCCATACCTCTGATTCTATTATATTC